GGGCGGACGGGAGCAGGGGACTGGGTCAACACAAGGGGGGAGGGGGCGGAGGACTGGGGCAGCGCAGGGCCGGCCAGGCCGTACCTTCTCCAGTTTGGACAGGGCCAGTGCGTAGCGATCCTTGGCCTTGAACTGCATGAAGCGCATGTTGGCCGGGTGCGTCAGCTCCGTGATGATGTTCAGGCCTGGGAACAGCCTGCGCCGGGCACAGGGATGGGGTCAGATGGGCTCCTGGGCCCAGCCCCTCCTGCTCTAACCACTAGACCCCACTCCCCTCCCGGAGCCGGGGAGAGAACCCAGGAGTCCGGGCTCCCAGCCCCCCCAGCTCTAACCCACCAGCCCCCACTCCCCTCCCAGAGCCAGGGAGAGAACCCAGGAGTCCAGGCTCCCAGCCCCCCCTGCTCTAACCCACTGGATCCCACAGCCAGGCAGGGAACCCAGGAGTTCTGGCTCCCCCCTCCCCCGTACCTGAACAGCGTCTGGACGTTGACAATGGTTTTGGCGTCGGCCATGTAGTCCTCATCCGCGATCATGGAGCTCTCCTTGTCCACGACCACCATGTTGGCAGCAAAGGTCACGCCGCAGCGCAGCAGGTCGTCCAGACTGGGGGCCGGGGGGTCAGCGGTCGTGCCAGGCAGCGCCACCCTGCCGCACGCCCCTCCTGCCTGTGTGCCCCGCCCCCCCCCCCCCCAGCAATACCGCGGGCCCTTCCCGTGCCCGGCCCCCACTGGCTTCCACCCTGAGGGCCTCCAAAGCCACCCAAATGGTGACGCCGACGGGATGGGGGCAGGTGGGGGGCGGCCAGAGCTGGCCCGTGCCACCGGCCTCCCAGCTCAGCCTGGGACGGTGCCCGAGAGCCCAGGGCCAAAGTGGGGGTGGCCGGAGATGCAGAGGGGACAAGCGATTCGACCTCCCTCCCTCCTGGGCCCACAGGCGGAACCACGAGGCTGCCCCCCCCAGCCCCTCCCGGGACCCCGGCTCTGGTCTCCATCCCACAACCCCGGCTCCCGCTGCTCGGTGCCGGACGGGCCCCAGAACCCCCCCCCCCCCCCCGGTCCGCCCCATGCGGCACCTACTCACTTATCGATGGAGCCCACCATGTAATAGACCAGCGGGAACCAACAGATCGCCTCCAGGAAATGGGTCTCCGGCCTGCAAGGGAAGGGGGGTGGCAGTGGGGGGGCAGCCCCGAGCAGCACGGACTCGCAGACCGGGGGAGGGGCGTATCCCTGCCCCCACCCAGTCTGCATTACTCTGCCCCCGCCCCACAACTCTGCCCCCCAACCCCACACCCCCTGGCTTCTGCCCCCGCCCCACTGCCTCCTGCCCCCAACCCCACACCCCCTGGCCTCTGCCCCTGTCCCACTGCTCCTGCCCACACCCCCCAGCTTCTGCCCCTCACCCCACTGCTCCTGCCCCCAACCCCACAGCCTCTGCCCACACCCCACTGCCTCCGACCCCACCCCAATGCTCCTGGCCACGCCCCGCTGCCTCCTGCCCCCCAACCCCACACCCCCCGGCCTCTGCCCCCGCCCCCAGCCCATGCCTGTGCCCTGGTGGCCGCCCCCCATCCCCTTTGCCCGGGGCAGGCCCCGTACGTGTTCTCCAGCAGCAGCACAATGGGGTTGAGCTCCTTGCGGGGCCGGTAGTAGGCCCGCAGCGGCACGATGAAGTTGTACAGCCCGTTGGCGGCTCTCTCGGCCGAGACGATGATGAGCTTGTTCTGGAAGTGGTAGGCGCGGGCGTCCTCGTACGGGTAGTGGTGGCAGCTCTGCGGGGGCAAGCGGGGTTCGCCGGGGGCACAACCCCCCCATTCCCTGCCAGTGCTGAGACTGGCGCCTGTGACCGCCCAGGGATCTGAGTTGGCTGGGGGTACAGCTGGCTTCTGGGGTGGCAGCACTGCGGGGGTTAAACC